ACATCTCCATTTATAATTAAGCCATGCTATCCAGAACCATCAAAGTCTGGTAAATCTATTAAGAGAAATATTTTCCCCAAAGATGAAAAATCAGATAGTAATGTTTCTGGTTTCACTGAAAGTATTTGTCTCCTTTGGCAGTTGCATCATCATCAGTAGCTTCTGATTCTGATATCAATGAAAAACTTAAAAAACGGCAGTGTTTGGAAAACACTATGCGCGTAATTCATAAGAAGCCTTTAAATGTATGTAGGACATCCTAAAGAATGTCTTTTTATAATTTAATTGATACATAAACATACAAACATTAAAATTGAATATATTTTGTTGTGCTTAAAAAAAATAAATTGAATCGTACATTTTCTGAATTAGAGCATGATTTCGAAATATCATTGTCTTACGCTAGTAAATTGTTTTTTCAGTATATTCCAGTAATTACTAGTGTTTTACAGCCATTCATTATTGATCTCGATAAATATTTAGTAAAAAAAAAACTTCCCATTGCATTCAGACATAACTATCATAAATTAATTTGTGTCATTGACTGTTTGGAAATTGATATATTGGGTTGGCACAAAAGTAATGAGACACACTAGAAAAATCTATAACATTTCCTTTTTAAAATCAATTTTTTTCGATAATATTCTAGAATGTTGTAGAACATTCTAGGTACTTCTGGTGTAGGGTATATAAAGCCGCGCTCGCGATTTGTTTAGTCAGTTTGAAGAAAAATGGACGAGCGAAAAGTTCGAACACTATACTTATACGAGTACTTGTTAGGCCACAGTGCGCGGGCTGCGGCTGACAATATCAACAATGCATTAGGCGCTGGAAGTACAAGCCATGCGACGGTGTCCCGATGGTTTGACCGTCTTAAATCAGGAGACAGGAGCCTTGAAAGTCAGCCACGCTCAGGGCGACCACCCGCAGTGAATGATGACGATTTGCGCCGCGAACTGCAGTTGAATCCGGATGCTACCACTCGTGAATTAGCGGAAGCACTTAAATGCAGTCACCACGCCGTGGAACACCATCTGCATGAGCTTGGTTATCGAAAAGTTTTGGCTCGGTGGGTACCGCACATCCTTACAGACGCCAGTCGTGCAGTCCGTATCGCTATCTGTCAGTCACTTTTGCTGCGACCCCGACGTAAAGAGTTTTTGTCAGATCAGGTTACTGGAGATGAATCATGGATTTATTACGAGAACGATACACGTCGTGCTTTTTGGCTGCCTCGAGAAGAAACGCCACCAACTCAACCGAAGCCGAGTCAAAAGAACCGCCGAAAAATTCTGCTTTGCTGTTTCTGGGATGCGCAAGGCATACTGTTTTATGAGCTATTACACAATGAAACTATAAACGCTGACAAATATTCAACCCAGCTTACCAAATTATCTGCCGCTATCAAGAAAAAACGACGAAGACGAGTCAATGTAGTTTTACTGCACGATAACGCTCGACCTCACGTCGCATCTGTGGTTCGCCGGCAGTTGGGGAACTTGGGCTGGGAGACGATACCTCACCCACCTTATTCCCCAGACCTCGCCCCATCAGACTATCATTTGTTTAGAGCCCTGAAACAGCATTTGCGGGGTAAACAATTTAATGATGTCTCTGACGTAGAGGCGGAGTTGAACAACTTTTTCGAGGCACAGCCATCAGAGTTCTGGGCAAAAGGCATCCAAACTTTGCCGGATCGTTGGCAAGAAGTCTTAGATACTAATGGTAATTACATCATTGACTAAACTTTTTTTATTGTAATAATAATAAAAAAGTAAAAACTTAAACCAAGTGTCTCATTACTTTTGTGCCAACCCAATACAAAAACCTTCAAAGGCTCTTCATCAAGCTTTGTCATGGTCAGATTAAAAAAAAGGGCAATACCGTGATGTATTTAGTAGCTTGCACACCTAAAAGTGGGCTTACACGAGGGTAATAATTGCTCAGCGACACGAATGGAGCAACATGGAGCAATTTCAATAAAATGCGGCAATAGGGATGATGACTGGGTAAAAAAATGCGATTCTATTTAGTCCGTCAGTCAGATAATAGAAAAATATTAGATATGTATTTTTTTTTACTTCAATTTAACAAGAAATAGCTTAGATAACAGGCATTAAAGTTGAGGAGTGGGGGCTCGCTACGTCACAGTTGAGTAGAAAACGTACTCTAACGTGACGTCATGAAAAAAGACGTGTTTAATATTTTTTAACACTCTACCTGATGGACAAACAAACAAAAATTAGTCATCATCCCTATTATTTCGGCGATATTGCTTCTAATTGCTCCATATATTTCATATCGCCCCATGTCGCTGATATGAATTGCGGAATATCCAATGGGAAACAGATAATTTCACAAAGCTATTTTAAAAAGATACCAGTTATACAACTAATTATAACAAAGAACCAAAAATATTAGAAATCAAACACATACAAGTAGGATTTAATCTCCTTCATTGTTGCCTAGGTCAGTAATGTTACCCGGCTGCAATAGGCTAGTTGCCACCAAATTAAATTCTCAAAAATAATTGTTATGCATAGTTGTTGAAGGTTTATTTATTATGAAAATCAAATTAAATAATTAAAATATTCAGGATTAAATAAGATTTTCTTGAAATAAAATCGGTAAATCACATACATAAATCACGAGACATCAAACGCCAATCAAAACGCATGACGTCTCTTCTTCATGACAGTTGTTGTTGACAGTTCTTATCGTTGTGATGCTGCTCGATTCCGTAAACTTTTGCTCATTTCTTTAGTTATTTTCTAATTATAATACACGTTTCTTTTTGTAAGATATTTAGAACAGTGCTTTTATTAACTTTTAATATGGAGCAAGGATTTGTTAAAGCGAATAGTACAAATTTGTCTGAAATTGATGCCGTGATGCTTGGAGTTTTTTTTTTGCGTCAAACACCGATTTCTGCTCAGCAGAATTTCGTATTATTAAGACTTCTAAGTAAGTATTTATTTTATTTATTACTAGATTATGCTGTTATATTTAAAATTATCTTATCTATCCTTAAAAACAACGGTCAGGGTGTCTGTTGGGTTGAAATACGTTTTTAGGTTAGGTTATGATTATTCACAATCAAACCACTTTGTAACTTATTTATAAAATCATTTAATTTCCAGATCCACAAAATACACGTCTCACAGTTTTTAACCCTCAATAACAAGCCACTTAATAATGTACGTTCACTTTGACGTTCACGTTCTACGACACAGTGACGCTCCGCGCCATTTCAACCGTTTTTATACTACCTCCCCTCTCTGCTTCTGTTATACCAGTACTCAAAAATTGATACGTGTTGCAATGGCGCGAACGAAAAATGGTCGAATCGAATACTAATAACAAAGCAACATATTTTACATAATCGATTATATTTATATACGTAACTAAATTGTTATATTTATTATACACATATTTAACAGCTTGGCCATCCTCAAGGAACACGTCCTCGTGGTAAATAGGGATATAAAAAAAATGGGTCTAGTTAATTTATACATAACAATCAATGCTTTTATTAAAATTACACATACATTAATAATTACAATATTGTAAATAGACATATAGTATTAGTTATTTAAGCTATATTAAATTATAACATTTTTGTTTGTATAATTCAAAGGATTACATAAAATTAATTTAACGAACGCAATTAAATCAACTTTCCTTCTTCGATATTATTCATCATTTTTATTACAGTTACTTATGCTATCATTATCACTACACGATTCATCACTACTAGAATCAAAACTAGTGCTAAATTTCAACCAAGGCTGTATTTTGTCTATAGCGACAATGGCTTCATAGCGCCGGTTATTTTTTTGAGTTAAGGGTGTATCTTCGATAAGATACCTATCATTACGCAGTATCTTAACAATACGATATGGGCCCTGATATTTTTCTATTAGTTTCTTTGATTTACCATCATTATGAGCAACTACTCTTTCTATCCTTACTAGTTCCCCTTCCTTATATGCTTTACCTATTTTTCTAGTTTTATTAAATCTCACCCTGTCCTTTTCTTGTTGTTCCCTAATATTTTTACCGGTTTCTAGACGCATTTGGGATAATTCATCGGATGAGCATACATGACGGGTATCATTAATTACGTCGTTTAAGATTGCTTCAGTGATGTTTATTAATTTATAACCAAATAAGAGTTCTGATGGACTTTTTTTGTAGTACTATGAATCGTTGTATTAAGCCCAATTTGTATATCAGCTACGAAATCATCCCATATTTTATCATTTTGACCGTGACTTTTCGTAGAGAGCGCGTCCAATATGGTTCTATTGAATCTTTCTACTTGGCCGTTTGCCCTAGGAGTGGCTACTGCATTTAGGATATGTTTTATGCCAGTGTTATTTATAAATTTTTTAAACAAATGAGACGTGAAATAAGACCCTTGATCGGTTATGAGGCGGGTAGGAGTACCAAAGTAACTTATGTGGTCTCTAAATACCTGAATGGTTGTGGTTGCTTTAGTATTCCTTACAGGCGTTATGTTAACATACTTTGTAAATCCATCAATAATTACTAGTATATACGAATTACCTCTTTTGCTACGCACAAACGGACCTAAGTGATCTGCATGTATTGTATGAAAAGGTATCTCTATTTTTTGGTATTGGATGTAATTCTCCAGGACGAGGGCCACCTTGGGTTTTATGATGAGCACATTCAAAGCAGATACGTATTTTTTTACAAATCGTCGTAACTTTGGAAACCAATAGGATTGTCTTATGCGAGATAAAGTTTTTTCAAAACCAAAGTGACCCACGTCGTCATGATTCATCTTGAGGATTTGCCACCTAACCGCTTTAGGTACAACCCAGCGAAGTTCATTATTTACTTTGCGAAATAAATGATTCTTTTTTAAACAATAATTATTACAAACCTCAACTATCTTCTCAGAATCGGGATTAGAAAGAATGTCTTTGATTGAATTAATCGCATCATCAGCTAATTGCACAGTTTTAATCCAGTCATCCTTTTCTAGCATAAGTACGTCTAAAACATGGGTTTCTGATACGGGAGGTGCAACTGGATGTCTGCTTAGTGCATCCACGTGTGCCATTCGGGGCCCAGGTCTATATTCAAAAGAACAGTCAAATTCTTGTAGTTGTACCCACCATCTCGCGATTCTTAGTACCATATCACGCTTAGTCATTGCTGTTCGCAATGCATTACAATCAGTGTGAATTTCAAAAGGTACTCCAAGTAAATAAACGCGAAAACGTGCAAGAGAGGCTATAACCGCTAGAGTTTCTAGCTCGAATGAGTGCATTTTTTGCTCATCTAATGTAGTTTTCCTACTATAGTAGGATATTGGTCGTAACGAGCCATCGTGGCCTTTTTGTAAAATTACACCAGCTACCCCAATTTTACTAGCATCCGTGTGTAGTTCAATTGGTAAAGACGGATCATACAAGGCTAATACGGGTCTTTCAATGAGACAGTTTTTAAGAGTCATAAAAGCATAATTATGTTTATCAGACCATTCAAAAGGAGAATTTTTCTTTAGTAGATCCGTCAACGGACTCGCTATTATTGCAAAGTTCTTTACAAATCGTCTAAAAAAACTAGCTAAGCCAATAAATGACGGACTTCATGCTGGTTTTTGGGTGCGGGAAATTTACTTACAGCCTCAGTTTTACGAGAACCTGGACGTATTCCATGAGAACCTACTTCAAATCCTAAGTAGTCTATATTGTTATAAAAGAAAAAACATTTTGATAATTTTAGAGTTAGCCCTCCAGATCTTAATAAATTTAATACTTCCCTAAGGCGAGTTATCCCCTCGGCAAAGTTGTGAGCCGGTATTAGGATATCATCCATATAGACCATAGCATATTTAATTTTGGCTTCGGCTAAGATTTTATTTATAGTACGTTGAAAAACAGATGGCGCATTAACCAGACCAAATGGCATTCTCATGAATTCGAACTGTCCATCGGGAGTAACGAAAGCAGTTTTATGCCTAGAATCTTCTTTAATCGGTATCTGGTAGTAGCCAGACGCAAGATCAAGTGTTGTAAAGTAACTGTGTCCAGAAAGAAGATCCAACTGATCCTCAATCCGTGGTAACGGAAAACGATCTTTAATAGTTTTTCGATTAAGGGCCCTATAATCCACACACAGACGTTTGCCCCGGTTTTCTTTTTAACTAATAAAATTGGGCTAGCATAAGGCGATGAAGATTCTCGTACTATGTTCGCGTCTATCATTTCCTGGACCATTTCACGCACATGTGTCTTTTCATTTAATGACATTCTGTATGGCCTATACACTATTGGGTCTGAATCAGTTAGACGTATTTCCATCTCAATCATTGTTGTGAAACCGAGATCTTGAAGGTTCTCAGAAAAACAATCATTATAATTATTTAATAAATTTTTAAGTTCTTGCCTTTGTGGTTCATTGAGTAAATCGCTACAATTTATTTCCTTGTCAATGACATCGATAGATAGTTTTGAGGCTTCTCTTATAGAGGAAACCGGTATAGCACGGGTCATTAAAGAATTTGCAGTGAATTTAATTGGATTTATCGTGATATTTTGAACTAATAAACTACATTTACCGTGTTTAAGATGATATTCCCCTGGAAGAAGGTAATATTGGTGTCCTATTTTACCTCTTATAGAGCCATCTATATATATAATGCCTGAATATAATTTGTTCGCTACAATAGGTACTAGCTTTATATCATACTGAGGAATAATTGTGGTATCAGAAACTATAAGGTATAGTTTGCTTGCATCTATTGTATTTTCGAATAACAATTCTGAAGAAGTTTTAGTTAAGATAATGTTGGGATGTTCAGTAAAATTTTGCCCTAACAACACTGGTTGCTTAATGACGTCGTCATCTACAACATACATTTCAATTGGTAATATTATATCTTGTACGTTATTTTCAACTTCAATCCGCGCTTTAGCATGCAAGTGATTATTGCCTATTCCCTTTAAAACAGGTAAACTATCAGTTTGAAGTTCGACGTTTAAGTTTAAAGCATCAGAATAACGCATGAGAGAACATTCACTACCTAGGTCTATAAAACAATCCATTAAATTTTGATTTACTCCGATAGTCATAAAATATTTACGGGACATGTCTACCAGTTTCAAATCATTATCAAAATTCAATTCATTAATCGGGTTATTTTGTTCTTGTGCCGGGTTTGTACAACAGATATCATTTATGGTAACCTTAAGAACCTGTTTCTCACTACTAATGGGGTGTTCATTATTTTTGTTAATATAAGGGTAAGACGTGACTTTATGACCTATTCTATGGCAATTGCTACACTTTTCAATTAGTTTAGTACATAAAAAGCTAGGATGACCCTCTAATCCGCAATTAAAGCATTTAATAGGTGGCTTACTTCCTCGCAATAGAGTTTTATTATTCCCCGATGAGTTATTACGTACATGTTTCCTATCTTGCCTAAATCTGTTAGAACTAGAAACAAAGTCTCTATTATTTCCGATTCTAACAGTCTTTAGATACGTAAGAACTTGTTCCGGAGAGTCAAATTGAGCTGCTTGTGCACCTATTTTCACACTTCTATCATCAATCCCTTGTAAAATAAAATCTACGGCCTGATTACCGGTGATCTTACAACGATTTAGTAAATTTAATTTCGAATAAAAATATTGTTCTAGTGACTCTCCGAAACGAACCCTTAAAGAAAGCATTTCAATTAAAAGATCAGCATAGTTTTCGCGACATGGAAATGATTCATTAAGCTTTACCTTCCATTGAGCCCATGTATAACGAACAGTTGGCAAGTTTTGATACCATGATTTTGCAAGACCAACCAGTTTAGGTAAGGCGTAATGAATCATCTCACTTTCATTCCATTTATAAATTTCCGCACATTCTTCAACCTTGGTTATCCAATTAGCAACAGTTTGATTTTTGGACAGTGGATCAAATTCTGGAATCACGTTATTCCCAGCCATAATCTAATTGTTTCCTAACAAAGCAAAATCTTTAAGTGCCTTCACAAATTGATTCAAGATATTATCACTAGGTGGAATATCGTAGTTCTCGTACCTGACACGTCGTCGAGGCGGCGAAACATCATCTCGTTGATAGTCAGGTTCACGTAATATTGTTGTAGGTGTTCGCAATCTCGGAGTGTGGGTTAGCGTTTCAGTGTCGGATCTTCTAATTCTGCTTTGTCTATGGTGTTCTAATCCTCTATTAGATTCTGCGGAAAAAGGGTTGGACGTAACAATTCGATTTTGTCTTACCTCATTCGTAAGAGATCGCAAAATCTCATCGTCCCTAGGACTTCGTGATCGGGATCGTTGCTCTAGCTCTCTATTCCCAGTTCTATGGATGGATCGAGAATGTCGCTCTAGCTCACCATCCTCGACCCTATTTCTTGTGAAAGAACGTCGCTCAAGCTCATCGTTCTCATTTCGTCTTGATCGCGGACGGCGCTCAAGCTCATCGTCCGCGTTGACACGGTTTGTTGAACGTCGCTCTAGCTCATCGCTCAATAACCGGTATCTAAGCATCAGTTCATCATCACTGTTCCCTTCTATTTCAGCAAGAATTGAGGAAGAAACCAGGGAGCAGTCTACTACAACTAGTAGACAGATTTCAGCAAGAATTGATGGGGATACTCTCGTATCGTGTGTCTCAAGTCTTTCTCGATTTCTATTCGTAGCTTCATTATTATCGTCCATCGTGATCTCGAAAACACAAAATAAATAAAATCATTAAAATATAATATTAATTCAATTCGAAGTCATAAGTAGGTAAAGCAAATTGTATCTTCAATGCAGAATACCAACTAACGCATCCAGAGAGTTGCCCTGGCAAAGCGCTAGTGGCATAACCGATCGCTATCTTGCATATCCAAAGAGTAGCCTTGGCAAATATGGAAGGTAGAAATCGAGAAGGTTGATAGTCAAGTAAAATAGTCAGTTTTTCAATTGAGATAACCTAACGTATCCAGAGAGTTGCCCTGGCAAAGCGTTAGGAAAGTCACTGCGATCTCTATCTTGCATACCCAGAGAGTAGCCCTGGCATATATGAAAGACAGAAATCGAAAATTCATGGTCGAGTCAGGCATTAAATTTAGTGGAAGACTCAGCTGACGCATCCAGAGAGTTGCCCTGACAAAGCGCAAGAAGAGTCTGCGATCATATGAATTGCATGCCCAGAGAGTAGCCCTGGCAAACATGCAATACAATATCGCCACTTCATTAATCACTGTTTGTAAGAAAAAGAAAAATTAAGCTTTCCAACAAAAGAAAGAAAAAAAAATAACCTCATAAACTTTAAATTTTAAAAGGTTTTTCTCTTTTAAAAAGAATCATAATAATAATGGTAATAAAAGTACTTACATTAGCGTGGAGTGAGAGCTTTTTTTTTGTTTCGTTTTTCCAAGCTCCCTTTATGCCACTTCTGAGTTATTCACAATCAAACCACTTTGTAACTTATTTATAAAATCATTTAATTTCCAGATCCACAAAATACACGTATCACAGTTTTTAACCCTCAATAACAAGCCACTTAATAATGTACGTTCACTTTGACGTTCTACGACACAGTGACGCTCCGCGCCATTTCAACCGTTTTTATACTACCTCCCCTCTCTGCTTCTGTTATACCAGTACTCAAAAATTGATACGTGTTGCAATGGCGCGAACGAAAAATGGTCGAATCGAATACTAATAACAAAGCAACATATTTTACATAATCGATTATATTTATATACGTAACTAAATTGTTATTTTTATTATACACATATTTAACATGATGTTTACCAAAAGCAAAAATTTAACAGCGAATTTTGGTTTCAGGTCTTCCCGTGCATCATATGGTGACGACGCCATTAGCTACGTATAGCTAAAACGGGATGGGAAGATTTGCACTCTTAAATGTAAGATATGCCCAGAGCATAAAATTCACGCAAAGCTATACGCAGTGACAATGGTGATAGATGAAGAAGAAGAGGTAATTCGCTCAGTGGAATGTCACGATTGCGTTGCTGCACTAGTAGGTTGTAAGCACGCAATAGCCTTCCTGATGTGGGTTCATCGCAGGAGTGCAGAACCTTCGTGTACTTCATTTGAATGTTATTGGAAGAAATCCAAATTGTCCAGGATTGGCACGACTTTAAAATTCATTACAGCCAAGGAAATGTCAAAAGGCAAACCTGTTCTGCCATCAAATACAGCTGTTCGCAATACATTTTTAGAAGAAGGAAGGAAAAGGAGTCTTAAAGAATGTGAATTTTTAAGATATAGTTCAAGCTCTTCAAGTTCTGCTATGCTATCGATGCACAACCTTGTGTTAAAGTTTAAAGATGAAGACTGTGACACATTTTTATCCAAAGTAGAGATACTGGATGAATCAATTAAAAAAATCGAGGAAGAAACCAGGGAGCAGAGTTGTAGTAGACTATGGTTTGAAATGAAATATGGTAGAATAACAGCATCAAGAGCATATGAAGTAAACAGAAGTAATAAGAATGCAGAGCTCCACAGAATAAAGCTTCCTTGGCTTGGTGAAATTTTTGGATTGTTTGTTTTTTGTAAAGTTTTAATTAATCAAATTAATTTATTCGCCGAACAGAATTATTCATAGAGAGTGTAATTTTTTGTATCGGTATCAATATGTGGATATGATGCGGCTATGGAGGGAGCTCATTTTATGGTACTCTTTCGAACACAAGCCCAGGCATAAAACGGCTTCACAAATATTATCACTATCGCTCGGTTTGTTTCTGCTAAGCACCCGACATAACTAGTCTTAGTATCAACAAGTGTAAAAGTATTATATTTACAAAGAAAAGGGCAAAAAGTGTCTTTGGTTACAAATTATCTAATACGAATATTGAAAATGTTGAACTCATTAAGGACCTGGGAGTCACACTTGATTCAAAACTACACCTAAACATACACATTGATAACATCATTAAAAAAGCCTTTAAGATGTTTGGTTTGGTTATGCGGGCAAGTAAAAACTTTACTAAGTCATCTACTCTGATGTACTTGTATTGCTCACTGATTAGACCTCAACTCGAGTATGCTGTACCCATCTGGAATCCCTTCTATGATAAATATATCAAAGCTCTTGAAAGCGTACAGAAAAAGTTCCTTCGGTCTGTGCAATACCGGTGCTATCGTAGCCGTCTAACTTGTTTGCAACTCTGCGATAAATACAACGTCCCAAGTCTCAAAAACAGGCGATTGATATTGGATGCAAAGATACTCTACGATATATGCCACAACAAGTACGACTGTGTCTCATTGGTGGGTAAATTACATTACAGGGTTCCTACTAGAGCCCATATCCGAAAACCTACTGTATCCTTTGCAACTAGCAGATGCCGCACCAATGCTGGAATGCGTTCACCTTTTCATCGCTTAGTACATTCTTACAACGGGTTTTTCAGCGCGATAGATATTCATAACTTGCGACCAGGATGTTTAAACGCGAATTGTATAAAGCACTGTCTGACACATAAAGCTATGTGTCAGACATAATGAAATTGCCAAAATATTCAATGATTTCATGCTCAATCTCTTCTTGGATAGATCATTGTCAGGTATCACCGTTTGTTACATTTCATATATATTAATTGTGGTGGATGTCATTGGTGGCAAAATTATCAATTTGTTTTGTTATGTCTGCGTGTAATATATATTGTATTTTGTCACTGTTTGTCTTACCCAAATAAATAGAAAAAAAATAAATAACGTTTTTGGAGACGCGTCTGCCGGGTGAAACTTTTTGGCGCAAAGTAATCAGTAAAATGTGCGCCGTGTTAGAGACGCCTCTCCAAACACAGTATATCAGCTACTCGCGTTATGGACGTAGAGCATCTAGAGTATCGCCGCCATAGATCCAAGACAACGTTGCGACGATATTAATGGTGCGTTAATTATTAAATGTTATTAGTAAGACGGACATACTATCTTAAATTTCCACCATTACTACTATTTGTAATGGTGGTACTATTGTGGTACTATTTGTCTGGATTCGATATACTTGGGAATATAAGAGTTGTAAAATGCTTACAATACTAGAAAGTATATACCCATAACCTGTTCTATTTGGCACATAATAAATTACTGTGACAAAAATAATATTATTTTGCACCATCATCAGTATAAATATGACAAAATTGTATCCATTGTTATTATCTATACTAATATTATAAAGGTGAAGAGTTTGTTTGTTTGTTTGAACGCGCTAATCTCAGGAACTACAGGTTCGAATTGAAAAATTCTTTTTGTGTTGAATAGACCATTTATCGAGGAAGGTTTTAGGCTATACCGGGAGCCACAAAATGACCGACACAGCCGAATGTTTCAAGTCAGGTTACATGCAAACATCATTGTATTGTCAAATATTTCAAAATAAAGAAGGTGTAAAAAGGATTAAATTTTTTTTAATTTCTACGTGTTGAGAGCCCTATAATGCGCATGCGCATTATAGGGCTCGATTGTGTCGATTGTGCACAGATAACAATGGACCGCGAAATACATTAATTTTTGCTTGCTCAGGTTTTCGAGACTTCTACAACTTCTACAAGTCTACATAAGAAATATACTAATAATCTTTATTGCATCGTCCGAGAATGCAAAAACACTTCCATAAAGACCCCAGGAAAATTGTGGATCAAAGTGCCTGGTGAAACAAATGTACGCAACACTTGGCTAAGTCTTGCTCAAACGGATCCCGAATCTTTATCGAGTGTGACTCAAATTTATTTTTGCGAAGATCACTTTGATGTAAGTATTACTCAGTAACGTATAGAAACTATATAATAGTCAGATTAGTAATACTTTTTTAGGTTATTTAGTATTTAATACAATAAATTTCTTTATATTGTTTACCTTTTAGTTATAAAATGACATGGAGAATTATATTCAATATAAAATAATGGGCTCCGTTAAAAGAATTAAAATGAAACCAGGCTGTAGGCCATCCAGGT